TACCTCTGCCAAAATTCCGTGTCCATACCAAATCTCCAGAATTGAAACTTCTGTTCCTATTCACCGATTCCACTTCTACTTCTATTGCCAAATTGTCCCCAGCTTTGTTGTTGCTCGGGTGTATTTGATCAAAAATTGTTCTTAGGTTCCTCCCATCAAGATTTCTGCTGGGCTTTCTCCATTTGTTGGATTGGATGTTGTTCATAACCGTATAAGTATGTTTTCTAAACTCTTCTTGATGTTGGCATTTTCTTAAAAGTGATTTTATTGTTGTACGAACCTTTCCGCCTGGCCGTTTGATGATGGATGATACGGTGCTGTTCGTATGTATCATGTCATTTGATGACAAAAATGACTCAAACTCGCCTGACACAAAATTTCGTTCATTATCGGATACAATGGTGCCTGGTATCCCATGTGATGCCAATACATCTCTCATTAGTTCAATTGTTTTTATAGAACTGGTGTCTTTGGTTATTTTAACTTCTACCCACTTGCTATATGAGTCGAAGATAATAAGAATATTGGTTCCCAAAATGTAATCTCGACCACGGTCTAAATGGTTTGGTTCTGCCGCTGGAGGTGTTTATTTTGTTGGGAACATTTCTCACATTTTTTCGCCGTCATCCCGATGTCCTTATTGAGACCTGGCCACCAAAATAACTTCTGGCGGTAGCTTTCATGGCTGACATACCTTGGTGTACTTCATGCAACATATTCAAAATACGGGAACGAAAATTGTGGGTATTATTACTCTTGTACCCCAAAGCAAACAATGGCAAACATTATTAAGAACTGGTCTTTGCCTTCTGTACAATATAAAATTTCAGGAATATTCGGAATTGTTCCACCTACTTCTTTAAATGGTAGCCTGCTTAATGCATCTGCATTTTCGTTTTTCTTCCCTTCTCTATATTTTATGTTGTATTGGTATGCCCCTAGCATCAACCACCATCTCAACATCCTAGGTGACATATGCTCAGATATGGGTTTCACTGGATTAAACAGTCCCAACAACGGTTTGTGATCAGTAAGATCGTAAATTCTCTTCAACTCAAAAACTGGTTAAACTTCTTCTAGCCAAAAATAATCGCAAGTGCCTTCTTGTCTAACTGGGTAGAGTTCTTTTCAGCTGGTTGGAGAGTCCGGCACCCAAAAGCAATTGGCATGACGTGAGCTAAGACTGGTATGACGTGAGCTAAGACTGCCCCACTCCGTATGGTGAAGCATCACCACTCAAAATCAATGGCAATTCTGCGGAATAACGAACCAAAAGATTTTCAGATTGAAGATTTTTCTTTACCTGATCAAAACTTGCTGGCATCTTTTTGCAAAAGACGATAATGCGGCTCCAACACATTTAACTTGTTGCGGAAAAATCGTTCGTAAAATGTTACTAATCCCAGGAATGATTGCAGTTGTTGTTTGTCGGTTGGTTCAGGTGCTTGATAAATTGCCCTGATCTTTTCATCTGTTGGTTTCACACCATCTCGATTTACCTTGAACTCCAAAAGGCATAGCTCTTGAACAGAAAAACACATTTACTTCTTTTTAATTTTAAACCGGTATCTTGTATGCGTCGAAGAACAACTTTTGTTCGGTCCCACATCTCCTGAACCGTCTTACCACCAATCAAAATATCATCAAGATATACCACAACGCCATCTATGCCACTTAACAGGCCTTCCATCATACGTTGAAAAATACTTGGTGCTGTGGATATACCGAACGGTAATCTGGTAACCTCAAACAATCCACGATGTGTGTAATGGTTAAAATTTTTGCTGATTCATCGCCTACTTTCACCTGAGTGTACGCTCTATCTAAACCCAATCTGAAAACCATTTACAATTCGCTAAAGTTGTTAGCACTTCCATGTTGGTTGGCAGGGGATGTTTCTTTACAAATCATCTGGTGCGTATGGTATTATCTGGTTTTAAAACTGGAACTATTGGAGTAGCCCATACGCTATTCGTCAATGAACGTAGCACACCATCCTCCTCCATTGAATCGAATATTGTGTTGAATTCAGTTACCTCTTCTGGTAACCCACCTTCGATGCTGTGCACTGGACTAATTATGGAAATTCCCAATTACTCAAACCAATTTCTTCCAATTAAGGATGGACCTCTTCCACGTACCACTACCAGTATCAGCTTCCAGTTAATAGCACCCAAAGAAACTGGAACTCGTTCTTCGCCACAAATTTGGCAATTATTTTCTGTGCCCCATGCTTTTAGATGTGTTTTACTGGATGTAACTTTAGGTTACGGAACTTCTTATAAAATTATCTTCACTCATAATTGAGTGACTGGCACCAGAGTCAATATCCACCTCAATAGATTTTTCACAAATTTTCACTTCTCTGCGGATCGATATGCCATTTACTCCACTCATTGACAAAATGTAGTCCTGGTTTCCGTCATTCGGGGGTATTTTGATCTGGTTAACATTATTCTTACCCATTGCTCCTCCAGAGTTTTTTCCTGGACGACCTGGCTTTGGTGATACACGCCTTTTCAATATCTCCACGTTCTTTGCAGAAGTGGTAATCTTCTTTAAACCGGCACTGGTCTGGCGAATGTGTACCCCCATATCTAAAACAATCTCTGGATGATTTTTTGCTTTACTCTTTTTTTCTCTGCCGTTACCAATTCTGTTTATCTTTTGCTGGTTAACTGGTGTTTTCAATGCGGCTAAATTCGTCTGGGCCTCTTCACTGGCAATGGCTTCTTCCTGTGCAATTTTGAGTGTTAGTTTATCATTTGACAACAATCATTTCTGTAGACTCTCATCTATCTCTTAATCCACACACCAATCCGTCACGCAGCATTACACCCAAATCTGTGAATTCACAATATTGGCCCAAATTTCTTAAAGCGGTCAAAAATTCGGGAACCGTCTCTCCCTCTTTCTGGTCTCTGCGGTAAAACTGGAAATGCTGTATAATCTGGTTTTGGTGGCGGGCAAAATGTTTGGATAACAATTCCACGGCTCTTTAAACGAGAATGTTTTGTCCATAACGTTATCTGGAGTGGCTATGGATTTCAACAGTACGTAGGTATCTGGCCCACAAGAAGATAAAATATCGCCTTTTTTGCATCCTCGTCCGCTATACCATTTGCCATGAAAAAAAATCATCTGTTTTAGATAAATCTGCCAATTTCCCGCAGCCACATTAAACTGTTGTCAAATCGCCGTATTTGAAGCCATCTTACTTTCCTCTGTTTCACTTTGTACTCCAGTCGATGTTTCATCCTCGTCGCCAATTAACATAACTTTTATTATTTGGAATTCATTTATTGAATAATATTTATGTCTTAAAATAAAAAATTACAATTTTAATGTTAAAGAATACTTGTTTACTCAAAGCTAGTCACAAAAGGAAGAGATCGAGGATTATGAAATGTCAGCAAACGTCAATTGACATTTTTTTTGGGGTTGCCATCATTCACTATAGGTGTGTATGGTTACCCTAAAATTTGTAACAATTGTTACAAATTGTTACTGGAAGTCGTCTGTTAACCCGAAAGTTCTGCAAAAGAGAGCGGTTGGAGAGAGAAATTTTGACAGTTCTTTCAGTGAGAGTTTGCAAATTCTTGCTGGACAAATTTCTTCTTGCAATCTCTTGCAACTCTTCTTCTTCTCATTCATCGTCATTCAATCAGATTTTTTCTATTGTTTATTAATTTCTTTTTGTGATTTTAATTTGAAAATATTGTTTTGGAATTAGCAAGACTAATTGTTTTTGGAGAACAACTTTACAAAATATGAAAAAAGTAAATATTAATATGTAATAAGAAAATAAAAGACTTTTTCCAGCATTTTTAGACAAATGCCATTAGCAACAGGTTTAAAAGATTCCGCGGAACACATCATATCTATCTTCCTTTTATTGCTCATATTTTTATTTTATTGTCAATTTCCTTTTTATACCCTACAACACTTTGTGTTGGGGGTATTATAAGTTTGATTGGGCCAAAAATTATGTAACACCACGAAATATTGATTTCCCACATAGGAAAGTATATATGGATCTTCCTATCTCGCCGAGCTGAGTCGATCTAGCTATGTATGTCCGTCCGTCCGTCTGTCCATGTTAATTTGTAATCACTCTACAGGTCGCAATTATAGCCCGATCTTCAAGAAATTTAAAATGTAGGTGGGGTTAAAGTCAGAATAGAACCCTATTTCTTTTGGAGATGATCGCACAATATTAAGGGGTTGAAATGGACCAAAAACTGAAAAATGATGCAAAAATTTTGCAGTTGCTCTACAGGTCACAATTATAGACCAATCGAAGCAAAAGTTAGCATGGGGCTAGAGCTTTGGGCTGGGCAGATGCCTTCCAATTTTGATGGTCATCGGGTTATTATGTATACACAGATTGCAATTATCATTCGATCCTCACGAAATTTTGACAAAGGTAGGGTTAGGCTCAGAAGGGCTAAGCCTATTGTTTTCAAATATGTCCGCAATATATTTAGGGGTTGAAATGGGCCAGCAACTCAAAATGTTCCTGATTTGCAAATGTTATAAAGGTCACACATAGAAACCAAAGGACACGAAATCTTGCATGAAGTTAGAATTTAAGACAGCAGTTATAATGGACCACTACTTTTGTGTGCAAAAATACTAACATTACTTACAGGCGATATCCGAAATACCCAAAAGGCGAACTTCTGGCTTTTTATGCTGATTTCGTCGACGACTATAGCCAAATTGCTTTTGGAGATGATCGCAAAATATATATGGGTTCAAATGAAACAAAAACAGAAAAAAATCATGATAACACAATTGAAGCCAATCGGCACGCCTGAGAAGATAGTTAAGCACAGTGAAGAATTCTAGCATTTTGGATGACCATTGGATTATATTTAGCCGTAAAATGGACCACAAAAACTAACAGCACGACGGAGTGCGTAAATATTGAAAAAATCTTCCAAAATGGATTTGGATATGAGGGGGCTTCTAACATATTGTAGTGTTGTAGGGTATCACATAGTCGGCCGCGCACGACTATATCCTTAGCTTACTTGTTATTTATAAAACTTGTGAAATTGGTGGTGGTTCCTTTCGTTTAATTCTTTTAATGGGGGACAAATTGGTTTGTTTTGACAAATCAGCTGATTAGTTGCAAGCTTCTGCAGGAAGCTTGTCTGTTTACTTTTCGCAATTTCCTTGCAAAAGATAATAAAACTACCTTACTCTCTCAGAAAGATGTTGCTGGACAATTCCTGCAGGAAAAGTAAGCAGACACACCTTATGTTACACTTCCATAAACAGTCTTTACGGAATTTAACCAACAAAGGATTTGAACCAGTCTGTTATGCAGACGAGTTTTATTCAAGGATGGATATTCAAAACGTAGTTAGACTTGTTCTAACATACGCATCAGTAGTAGATTAGTGGGGTAACTGGGATGTAACGGGTCACCTGGGCCTACAAGCTTATCTGTACAGATAACAGCATATACAGGGCATACGGGAAGATGATGAAAACAATGTCTAGCATTTGCAAATATCAGATCCAATAGGGAAAGACTCATGCTGGTCCTTGCTGACACGCCTGGTTGGGGAGTTTCTGCCCCATATATGTTGGTTAGTATGACCCACGATAACACCCAAGCAGGTACTGCAACGAAAACACTTCGTCTCCTCATGTAAATGGTCCACAGGAGTCATGAGGAGGAACCCTGTTGCAGTTCTCAGGGCGGCATTCTGGCAGGTCTGAATACTTTACCGCTGCATTGCACTCGGACCACACTGCAGCAGCATAGCTAACAACAGAACGACATATCGCTTTATAAAAGGTCAACAAGGTTTCCTTATCCGAACCCGGAGGACCTTGCCGGCTAGCGTCTTAAGGACCTTGTTCCTACTTTTCAATTTATCACTCAATATACTCAACTCCGGTGTATCCAGATGCTTCAACATGACTTTAGATGACTTAGCGTTTCGGAAGACATTCGCAACATCACCCATCGTAAACTATTCAGGTATATCCTCGGCGGAAAAGAGCTCTTATACGCTGCAGTACTCCTAGCCTCGCTCTATCACTCTCGGGCTGCTCGACAAATTGGCGTTTAAAATGGCCAGCGAACCTCTTCGGATCAGTCACCGTTACGTCGTTAAATGCGACTGCTGTCCTATCATGTTCCTGTATCAATCTGCGGACGTCCACTGTCTGGGATCAGTAGGGTTAGTACGCCGGAGCTCAAGAAATTTGGTCTTACTTCGGGCATTCGACCAGCAGGTATATAGCAAGCGGCGATGTCCCTAAATATCATTTCCGTTAATTTGAAATTATTTCAAATTCGGTTGCAAAATAAATGCATAACTTCGATGTAATTGGGCAGGACATTGTACAATATTGGGATAAAGCATATTGTCCTACTATTTAGATCCAATCTTGTGGAATAACCCCAAAATTCCATTTTGTTTCACGGGTTTCCCAATATAAGAATTTTGTGAAAATGGAAAATAAACCAAACCATCTATTGCATATTTAAAAGTCATTTTGACACTATAAGGCTCCAGCACAAAGTTCATTTTTTTAGTTTCTTTGAAGTTGAGCATCGTAGAAACAAGGAGGTAAAGTCATGCAAGCATATGTTTACAATTTTTTCAAAAATTATTCATTTGACAACATCTCAATGTCAAAATTTGTATTTATAAGTCCATTGTACATACACAAATCAGAGATGGGAACCTGTTTTATGTAGAGAAATGTGACAAGGAAAATTACAGAAAATGTGACAATAATTACAGATGGGTATTCTTTTTTGAAGTTGAGCAATCTTTCTTATTGAGTCATGGGCTTTCCAATGGTTAAGGAAAGTGCGGCGTTCAGAGGTTATGAAATCGGGCGATCTACTGATGGAGACGATTATCGGGAGATAGTCTGAGCTAGGAGAAATGACGGGTTGCTAAGTCAAGTCATTTATCAGACCGGATGACCCAATGTCTAAATCTGGCGAACTGTGACACTCTCCTGTGAGGCCAAGCTAGTTATGTACACTCACCTAAAAGCTATTAAATTTTTTGAATATACCAGACGTGATGCTAAACAGTTTATTTCTATCGGCATTTGTTATAAATGCAATGGACTGAATAAATTCTAACATTGAGACATATAAAACATACTATGTTTGTTCAAAACGTAGAGTCGTTTAAAAAATGTACTGCGAGGGAAATGCTTACAAATTGACAATTACCATCAATAACTAGTTGCAACGGGATGAAAAAATTTCGCAATTATGTATTGTTTGTTTGTAGTGTAATATAATATGCGCGCTATCACCCAAAGTGAATTTAATTCCGTACTTAGAAAGCGAAATCGCATTTTTTTTGGTTTGAAACCACTTTGGATTTTGCAAGTGAAATTGTATTTGTTTTGTAAGTGCGAATTTAAATCACTTTGGCTGATAGCGCGGATATCAAGTATTTGAAAGTTTCAAGGTGAATAAATACACATTTAAATTTACATTTTTTTCTTTTTATTTATATAATTAAAAAAATTAACCCAATTGACGATGCCAATTGTTAACAAAGTTTTGCCACATCATTTTTTTCTTGAAACCCAGATTTTCTTCCAACAAACGTTATTCATAATGAAAACTAAACAATCTGGCATTACGAATGATAAATTGAAGCACAAAATAAAACAAAAAAAAAACTCAAAAAGACATTCTGTGCAAAAATGTAAATATTTTGAAATGTTATAACGTTTTTATTATTTAAGAGTAAGCACAGGTATTTATTATTAAATATTCTCACGGCACTGTGGTAGCACAAGGGGCCCAAAGCATCTCTAAATTTCCTCCGGCGGATTTTTTCAGTATTATTCATTACTTTGCGCCTCAATTACAAAAACCGTGTAAAAATTAAAAAAAAAATTATTTTCAAACAAAAAAACAGTTAATCTTATCAAGCCTTGACTAGTTTGGCAGTTACAACAATTTGGCAATTTTCATAGCGGCTACTAACTTCTTGTGAGACTTTATGGTATCTTCGATTGAAAATAATGTCATAAAAATTATTTTCGGTGCTAGTGGATGTGTCTTTTGTATCTTCTGCAAATTGAATGAGAGTTCTAAATGCTAGGAAGCGTGTTAAATTAACCCCAAATGTTACCGTAAACCACTCATAATCCTCAATAGGATTTCACGAAAATTTTCTAAATAATATTCGTGAAACTGTGTTGGACTAGGGTCCAACAAAATCTGTCGGCACATCTTGGTAACGTCGGCATTATAAATGTGTAATATCTTATTG